AATGTTTATATACAATGTTACTTTGTATCTCTCTATCTCCCTCTGATCAATGTTTATATACAATGTTACTTTGTATCTCTCTATCTAACTCTGATCAATGTTTATAAACAATGTTACTTTGTATCTCTCTATCTCCCTCTGATCAATGTTTATAAACAATGTTACTTTGTATCTCTCTATCTCCCCTCTGATCAATGTTTATAAACAATGTTACTTTGTATCTCTCTATCTCCCCTCTTATCAATGTTTATAAACAATGTTACTTTGTATCTCTATCTCCCTCTGATCAATGTTTATATATTATGTTTCTGGCGGTGTGTTTGTGGATTGCACCGGCCACTGCAGCTGCTGTATATGACAGTTGGATATTGATGGCGAGCACGGGTCGGGGGCGGGGCGGATAAGCGGCGGCAGAGGAGGACAAGATGTACTAAGCGCGGCCTAATTACCTCAATGAAGTAATGAATTAATCAGAGAGAATAATGTAAGAATTCTCCCCTCGCAGAGGCCCTTCATGGCCGGTTGTTCATTTTATGGATAAAAGCCGATTGATCGCTGCGACCGACTTCTCCAATCCGAGTTATTTTTCTCTTCTCGGTTTATTTGCACATATTCGCCCCGAGATGTTTATTTGGTTGTATATAGAACAGATCAATCCCATTACAGCTCCTCTATGGAAACCGTCACCGGCGTCCGGGGAATACACACGGCACTTAGAGAAGACTATTAATGTACCAGATCATAGTGCACAACATACAAACCATGCTCAGCACCACTTCCCTCGTCCCGTATGCCGGGTATCATTCTCAGTATCTGTTCTTATTCTGTATGTATGGACTCTGCACAGTACCACTTCCCTTGTCCTGTATACCGGGTGTCATTCTCGGTATCTGTTCTTATTCTTTATGTATGGACTCTGCACAGTACCACTTCTCTTGTCCAGTATGCCGGGTGTCATTCTCGGTATCTGTTCTTATTCTCTATGTATGGACTCTGCACAGTACCACTTCTCTTGTCCTGTATGCCGGGTGTCATTCTCGGTATCTGTTCTTATTCTGTATGTATGGACTCTGCACAGTACCACTTCCCTCGTCCCGTATGCCGGGTGTCATTCTCAGTATCTGTTCTTATTCTGTATGTATGGACTCTGCACAGTACCACTTCCCTTGTCCTGTATATTGGGAGTCATTCTCTGTATCTGTTCTTATTCTCTATGTATGGACTCTGCACAGTACCACTTCTCTTGTCCAGTATGCCGGGTGTCATTCTCGGTATCTGTTCTCATGCTCTGTGTATGGGCAGTGTGGTGGTCGGTGTACAGAGTCCGCGCGGGGGGGGGGGGGCGCGCGCGTGTTGGTATTTGGGTCAGGTCGGGATCTCGGTCACGCACTTGGTTCTGGATTGATCTCTGAGAATTCTATTGATCCCTTTGGCTGATGGAGTCGGATCCCCTGGAGGTGATGAGAGGACGTTTTTGGCTTTCTTTGCAGGGAATGATGCAGGGTTCAGGGGTCAGTAGTATTTAACACAGGTTCAAGCACACTATAAGTAACTCAGAGTTCAGGGGTCAGTAGAATGCATTGCAGAGTTCAGGGGTCAGGAGTATATGACGCTGAGTTCAGGGGTCAGGAGAATGTATTGCAGAGTTCAGGGGTCAGGAGAATGCATTGCAGAGTTCAGGGGTCAGGAGAATGCATTGCAGAGTTCAGGGGTCAGTAGAATGCATTGCAGAGTTCAGGGGTCAGCAGTATGTAATGCAGGGTTCAGGGGTCAGCAGTATGTAATGCAGAGTTCAGGGGTTAGTAGTATATGACGCTGAGTTCAGGGGTCAGGAGAATTGTTTTGCAGAGTTCAGGGGTCAGGAGAATGCATTGCAGAGTTCAGGGGTCAGGAGAATGTATTGCAGAGTTCACAGGAAATGTGTGAGCACAGACAGTTCTTCTCCTTGCTGTTCCTGGTGGGGAGGATACGGTCGGTGGTATATAATGAGTGTCCAGGGGATATCATTGTAATCGTTGTACAGCGGCCCTGACATGAGATTGTCCTGGAGATGAAGTGAAGCCTATATGGAGGTTACCGCAGACGTCAGTTAATGTCTATGGACCCCTGAGATGGCTGAGGGCCCTCTATACATGACTGAGACCGCCGGGGCCCGCTCCGTGTATATGAAACATCTTTTGTGCTGCATGAGGTCCCATCTGTCATATCTGTCCTTCGTTCCCTGGCTGGTGGCGATGGTGAAGAGCACCTGTCATCACCCTGGGAAGCTCTAGGGGGGGGGGAACCAGGAAACTGGGCAGATTGAGGAAAGTCGGCGTCGCAAACAGAGTGACGATGTGCTGCAACCCCCGGACTGTGCGATTATGTGGGTGCGCGCTCTGTGCCGGGACCCGTCATTCCAGGCAGAGTCCTCCTCTGACATTCCCGGGAGTCCTCGGGTGCTTCCACGTCAGGCCGCGCACTTCTTCCAGAAATAGACCCGGTGGCGGGGTGCGCGTCCTGCGTATGGCGGCAGATAACATTGTCAGGGAGGAGGGTACAATGGCTGCCACACCACCGGGCACCGAGCGAGCCGCCGTACCGGCCACATCTATTTATATCCATGTG